TTCAGATATCGTTTGTCCAGCTGTGTGCTGTCATGCAAGTCTCGTAGATCTTTCACGCCGCTGGCTGAACCAATGTGCGGTAGAGTCCAGAGGGAATTCAGATGTTGTCGGTCTATCCTTTTCTTGCCCCCAAACCGCGCTGTTGCAAGGTCGTGTTTTCTTCGGCATACCATTTTTCTGTCGTTGGTACCCCTGGAATCACAGCAGCCGCATATTCTGTGAGACACCGACGGAAGTAGTGGAACTTATCGGTGGTTGCTAGCGATGCATTTGTGAGAATTGCCTCATTGGACCGCTTCCAGGGTGCACGCTAGTTGCTTAGTTTATTCTCGCAGGGGGAAGTTTAAGGTTTATGGAGTTTCGGTTTACGTCTCACTGAGTGGTCCTGTGAATCAGCAGGGGCTCCACTAAATGCAGCAGAAGCTACCGTTCTTCGAGGTTCCAAGGCTTCAACCTCTCTGTTGAGCTCACTGATCTCCCTGACTGCTTCATCTTGGGACTCTGCGCTGGCGTTGCATCCTTGCTTCAACTCTTCATCTCACCGTCAATCGTCTGAAGTTCTGCGTTACCGGTTTTGAACTTTTCCTTGAGCGAGCGCACTCTTGCTATGTCCGGGCTGTGATTCTGTAGCACTTCTTTTATATCGTTGATGGTTTTGGTGTTTTTTGCCCGTCGAGCCTAGAGCCACTAAATAAGCTGCGCTTAGAGTATCGCCACTCCGTTCCCCGACATTGTTTTGGGCGCCGCCATTTTGGCTCGTATGCAGAGCAGACGCAACGGCCGATCCTCATGATTCAAAAGTGCGACTTCCTCAGCATTAGATTCGGTGATAGGAAGGTCATGTATTATTGTTTTGCTCTGTCGCGGACGGTTTAAACATTTGTGGAGGGCGGAAAAGCATTTCCTGTGATTTCAGATAAAGCTTCAGATAACTGGCAACCATGATTTTACGACACAATATGGCCAAGTGTCGTTACTCTGAAGCGTAGCTTATTTAGTGGCACTAGTCGAGCCAAACGCCCAGCCTTTAGCGTGTCCATGAACAGTAAGTAATTATCAGGCTAGGCGATCGCATTCCATGGCTCCGACTCTGTTTTTCCCCAATGCTTTTTTTCTGCTATGATCCTTTGATGCAAGTCGCGGCTGGGCTTGGAAGTACTGGCGGTGTGCGGCTGATCTCGTAACGCAGGAGTTTTTTCGAGTATCGAACCCAAATATTGAGGAACCAAGGAACTAAAAGGCATAAAACAAGACGAATCGGTCGGTGTGACCTTGTCATTTGCTGTCCGTATTTAGACTGCCCGCCCCACGCTTTACCACCACTTCATCCTCTTTTGGTTGCAACATGGTAGGTTAAGTACTACTCGTTCTAGTCCACGACAGACGCGACCTTTAAGGTGATGGCGAGCGGGCCAGGGAAGGTTAGCAACTCCGGTACCCCTTTGCTCTCGGTCGACGCTGCGGTGGCGAGGAGCGCAAGTACTTCGAGCGCGGCGTTTTCAGAGGTTTGAAAAACAAATTGCCACCAAACCGGAAGTTCCTAAGATGGCGGCGAATTTTGTTTTTTTCTGACGTAATGATTGACATTTTTTGTGCTACATCGCAGGTGTACAGCAGTCATAGAGGAGCCACAAATTCAATTCGTCTTGTGTAATTTCTCTATTAAAATCAACTGGTGGGCTGGTTGGTTAAACGTGATGTAAAAAGCGCAATCGATTAGGAAGAAAAGAAGGGGGTAGGCAGAGGGATTACTTACAGCTGACGTGTTTTGAAAAGCACTCGGGGAAAAGATTGTGGGACAAACTTGCCGCTGTGTAAATGTGAGCCTAAGAGAATAGGCCGTTTCGCTCGAATTGACACCATCTGGCCACTTAGTTTTATACGTGCGAGACTGCGGTTGTTCCCCAGTGTTCGACACTACGTTAATCCTAAGGTGATCCCACAACAAGAGAGCTTGTGAACTCTATGAGGCAAATTTTTTTGTTGTCAAAAGGAGCGTCACGTATTCGCGCACTCTGTGGAATTGTCAGCCAAAGAACAGTTATACTTGGAACAATTCCCATGACTTTTCTCAACACCTACATTTTAATTTGACGATGTTTCTTTTATTTATTTTTATTTATGAATGCTTTTAATGCGTTTAATTTCCTTTCCGCTTCCCTTTTTCTCTCTTCTTTTTGATGGTTCTTCTTAATCACTCCTGATTCCCTCACTTCCTTTTTGTTCTTTTCCAATTCCTTCAATACACGTGAGTTGTAAGTAAGTGCTCTGTCCTGTCCCCTGCCCGTTTTGATTTGGATGAGCATCGTACCGGCGTGCGGTTGTGTAGCACGACTGCGTGGTGCACGTTAAAGACCCCAGGCTAGCGGTTGTACCGCACTGGCTAAATTGCTCATCTACAGCTGAGACACCAGACGCCCACTGAGGCAGACTAACTTCCGGCTGTGTAAACATACATACAACAATTTGCTTTGCTTAGCTTTCATTTTCTCTGCTCTTTTTAATTATTTGCGCTCTTTCACATCATTTATTTATTTATTTATTTATTTATTCACAATACCTTACAGGCTCTTTTCCAGAGCATTGAGTAAGGGGGGTATTATACACATAAATTCACAAAAGAAAATAGAACAAACGCACATACAGTCTCACACAAAGTTGTCATGTAGGCACAGCCTACAATGAAAGCCCAACTAAGTACAAATTTAGAAAAAAAACAATAAAAAAAACACTGGACTTATATAAAAAGTTGTCAAGTTACACAGAAACAGAATTAAGCGGAAACTCGTTGCTTAGAAAATAAGATTCAAGTTTAGCACGGAACAGTGTGGTCTCGGCAATGGTGACCATGGATTCGGGAAGGTCGTTCCATGCGCGGATGCCACGTGGAACAACTGAGTTAATAAACGCGTTGGTTGACCCAGTGAGATGCTGAAAACTTTTACTCTTAGTGGTTCGATGAGATGATCTATTAGGAGGTTTAAGGAAAGTAACGCTTGATAAACGACTGTTATTATAGAACTTGTGAATTAGGCACAGAGTAAGAATGGTTCGACGCACTTCGAGCAATGGCCGGGAACATTGATGTTTTAGGAGAGAGACACTCGTGCTATTTGAATAGGAAGATGTTATAAAGCGTGCTGCACGTGTCTGGACTTTTTCAATGTGCGTGGTTAGGTATTTCTGATGAGGGCTCCAAATCGCGGCAGCATATTCGAGTTTAGGACGGACATATGTTTCGTAAGCGAGTTTTCGGAGATGGTTAGGGGCCGCTTTTAAGTTACGTTTAATATAACTGAGCGTTCTAGATTCGTCAGCGGTCACAGAGTTAATATGGGTGACCCATGAAAGGTTAGATGTAAAATGCACACCAAGATACTTGTAGGATTAACATACGCTAAGGGATGAAGTGCCTAATGTGTATGGGAACTGTGAAAGAGGTCGTTTGCGAGTGAAGTTTATTACTTGGCATTTGGATTTATTTAGTGCCATTAGCCATTCTTCGCACCGGTTGTTAATGCGATCAAGATCATGCTGGAGTAGTACGTGGTCATCTGGAGTGTTTATTTTCCTGTACAAGACACAGTCATCTGCAAACAAACGTACATTAGAAAGCAATGATTTGGGGGGTCGTTTATGCAGATAAGAAATAACAAAGGACCCAAGACGCTGCCTTGCGGAACGCCAGAGGTTACATGGGTAATGTCAGACTGAAAATCATCACAGGCAGTATACTGAGAGCGAAATGACAGAAAGTTGAGAATCCGTGAGAGGGTTGAAGAATCAAGGTTAAGTGACGAAAGCTTAGACCAAAGGCGACAGTGGAGAACGCAGTCGAATGCTTTAGAAAAGTCCAGAAATATTGCATCGGTTTGAGAGTTAGAGTTCATGTTAGGTTGTAGGTGATGGGTGAATTCAAGCAGTTGTGCTTCACAGGAAAGGCCTTTACGAAAACCATAACTGATGTTTATAAAAAAAATTGTTATACTCAAGATACAATGCAACATGTGAAAAATTATATGTTCAAGTACTTTGCACACAACACTGGTTAAAGAGATGGGGCGGTAGTTCTCTGCGAGGTGGCGATCTCCGTTTTTGAAAACAGGAACGACCTTCCCTATCTTCCAGTCGTCTGGAAGTATACCGGTGGGCAATGATTGTTGAAATAGTAGACCGCGAATTTCACTGGATACGCGTTTTGTATTTTTTAAGAAGCTTAGAGTTAATGTTGTCTGTGCCAGCCGATGTAGTAATTTTTAGGTTATCTATAATATTTTCAATTCCCGAAGGTGATACAGAAATAGGACTCATGAATTGAGAGCTAACGTCATTAATAACGGGCACTGAGTACTGAGTAATTACTAGCCAATATTATATTGTTATATGCCCTTTGCATGCTTGCTCAATGAATTTTATTTTGCATGTTCCTGGGTTTTCACAATACTTTCGCTTGCTACCATCTTTTTGGTTTGGAAAGGCAGTATAAAGTTATTTTTGATAGGAAGCCTAAGATAACCTTGTTGTATTCTTAAATTTATAACTATAATTATAAAGAAAAGCTCTCTACCACACTTTATACGTTTGCCCTTTTCAATGTGTGAACTGGCTCCCATAGCCTGCACGGAAATCAGTGTTGTGCCCGCCCAATGTGTTCTTCTTCACCCGTGCGGCCTGGTGCGGGAGGACGCAATCCGCCCGCGGTATCGTTAGGCTCGAGGCCAGCGAGCCCGCTCCCTCGCAGGTGGAGCCGCCTCGGTGGCTCCGAGGTGAGAGCGCTGGCCTACGGATCTCCCCATCTGGCGGGTTCGAATCCTGGCCAAGGTGCCAGCAATCTGACGTAGGCTTATTGCGGAGGAGGCGCCGTGTAACCGAGCTTTCGGTTGCGCGTCAAAAGATCCCCAGGTGGTCCAAATTAATTCTCGGTCCTCCGCTGGGGCGTGCCAGATGCCTGTCGTTGGCTTGGCACGTAAAACCCCAAAATGAAAATGATTCCCTCGCAGGCGGCATTATGATCAGCGTGGTGGTGTCGTCCAAGTGCTGCCGCCTGAACCCCGACAACGTGTCCATTCCCATCGCGGCTGCCCTCGGGGACGTCATCACCCTGGGACTACTCGCCTTTGTCAGCGCCGCCATTTTCCAGTTCCTAGGTGAGTACGCCCCGTACAAAATATACAGAGTCACAACGCTGGCCAAATTGTTTCGCCAAGTAGCACGACACACCGGGTTGTTGCAGGGCGGTCCTGGTTTGCGGGTATTGTGTCTTCGAGCCGGGACCGGGGCGAAAATGGCCATTCCGAAATGCCAGAATCCGGCCAGTGCCAGGAAATTACCGGGTTCCCGGCGCCGGGCTGCCAGTGCCTTGTCCTTGCATGCCGACGCCGGTGTCGCATCAAGTTTCCGGAGACTCCGGAAGGTTCCTAGGGGACGCCAATGTGTTCCAGGTACCTTCCGGTTTCTGGCTTTGAGACCTGCTCTTTTCGCCCGTGGCCTGGCACGCCAAGACCGGTGTCCGGGAAGTTCTTGGCAAAGGCCGGATTCGGGCCCGTATTATGTGAACACATATCTAGCTGTTAAACGTCAGTGGCACTTTTACATGTCACCCTTCGGGAATAGAAAAACTGTTCCCTTGTGCCGGTCCGGTAGTCGTTCAGGATTGACTTCTTTCGATGCAATCCAGCTTCCATAGTTTTTAGATGACTAAACCGAGTTGGGTCGACGTACTTGTGTCTGAGACGCATACCGATGTATGATACCTCGACTTCCATGTGGACCATCCGTTGTACAAGCTTCCATAGGACCCACAAGGAGTGGGAAACACTTTTGGAAAGGGGGTGAATTAACAGAAAACATCGAATGGGGGGCCAAGTTTTTAACTTCTAGTAATAATGCAATCAATGTAAGGGCGCGAATGCATTGGTTTAGATTGAACAAGAACATAAACCCCGAGACCGCAGGAAAAAACGACACGAAAACTAAAGGGTCTCGAACACAGCTGTATATTTTATCTCCGAAATGTACTTTGATAAAGCCACCTTGACAAAAGTAAAACGAGAGGGAGAAGCCACCGCCCATTCGTTCAACAAGTAAACAATAAAATGCAGCTACCCAACAAAGACACGAGAGTGTCTATGTTGGTATAGAGTCATTGACAATCTTAAACTATGGAAACGTTGTTAATAAACCTTAGTTTTTTTAAGTCCTCAACTAAGACGGTTTCAAGGGCTCTGAAAAATGGTGAGCCTGTGAGTTCACTGTATTTGTGTTTCCGGGAAGCTAGGATGTCGTGCTGTTCTATGGTTCATTTTCCCTTACCAGCTTTAGTATTACGAGCACAAAGCGAGGATGATAATGTTCTGTTAGCGATGTTTCAAGGTAAGGAAGAAGGTGGGATTCGAGACGTTTTTTGTGTACTTCGCGGGTCGCTGTGTTTTATTCATTGGGGGTTGAAGTGTTGGTTGCGTTACGCGACGCTAGAATGACATGTTCGGTTGTGATGCACCCTGTGTTACCGGACATAGTAGTACGAGTACAGAAGCAGGGTGTTGTGTTCAGTTAGCAAAGGTTCAGAGTAAGAGGGGAAGAGTTTGGCGACGTGCTTTCGTGTCTTCGTTGGGTTGCTGCATTTTATTTTTGACTTGTGTAAAGAAGGTGAATTGGCTCCTTTTCTCGTTTTTTGTTTGCCAAGGTGCGTATAGAAGCACCTTTCGGAGATAACAAGAATTCACATTAAAACTTCAGCTATGTTCGAGACATTTTAGTGTTCTTGTCGTTTCTTGTCTGGAGTCTCAGGGTTTGTGTCACGTACAAGCAGCTTGACTGGTCTCCAGCTCCCTAAACAGGCCCACAGTGGTGGCGAAAATATATAACGCAGGGCCGTTTCTTGATGCAAAAGCGAAATTAAAAAAAAAAGAAAACGCAAAAATATAAATAAGAAGGGTACGAGTGGTTGTAAGCTTCAAACAGAAATGCAACAGTCAAAAACAAAACACACTGAAAAAAGTTATATAACGTACAATCACTCCTCTTCGGAGTTGGCACAAAAATAAAACAGTGAACAGTTTTTATCTTGACAGATAGTGGATACTAAAATTCCGCGAGCTGATGGATGGTGCATCAATATTTGTTTGCACGAATGTGTTTAAGCAATGTTTAAGCAATGTTTAAGCAAGTAATAAAAAAAATTGCAGGAGGACATTTAAGACTGCTTACGAAAGCATTCGTACGCGCAACGCATTCCTACAAGCAGCGCAGGGGCTGGCGGGGCGGCGATACATGGCTGAAAGCAGAGCGTAGAACACGTGATGCGGTAGTGCACAGGGAAAAGGAGGGGGAATTTCCCGCCCCCCTTCCCCCTCCGGCCACGCCTGACACGTGACCCAAAAGGGGGTGAGACCGGTAGCCGCGCGCGCGCGCCACCCTCTCCTTTTTACCGGCGCGGTCCGCAGCACCACGAACAGGGCTTCCCTGTGGGGTGGTGTTCCTTGGAACTATGGTGCGTCGCAGCTAATGGGAATATTTCGCTCGTTTATCTCATCCGGAATTCAGGTGCCGTTTCGCTCAGCCGGAATTTAGGAGCCGTTTTTCGCGGTTACAGACAACGCCGGTTGCGCTCAGGGGACAGTTAACTCTTTCGCTACCGCGCCTATTCAAATCAATCAATTTGATCGACGCACTTCCAGTTCAAATTTTCGCTCGCTCGCGCGGTTTACGGGCGCCTAGCGCCATCTAGGTTAGAAAGTGGGAAACACAACGTGCTCCGCTATGTTTTGTTAGTTTCCTGCTTTGCGGCGCTCCTCCCCGCGTCGCAAAAAGTTTAGCTTTGACGGGCGAGCGCTTCGATCATGGCGTCGTCATCGTGCGCGGGCGCTCCCAAAAGATGTCGTGCTTCTGGCCTTTCGAGCTCTTTAGGAGCCGATTTTGCGGATGCAATCAGCAGTAGTGAGACTGAAGAAGATGTGGACACATCAGATTTCAGCACCGATGACGAGGATGCACCAACTCAAGCCGGAACATCCAGCGGGTGAGTGTCAGCTCTATGTGGGGCGCACATTTAGATTACTAATAAATAGTTATGACCGGCGGAGCATGTACTCACAGCTATATTATTTATTTTCAGGGTCTCAACGTCATACGGACATGATTCCTTGCCAGCAGCTGTGAAGCGCGTACAGTTTTTTCCTAAACGAAACCCGGGAGTCAAAGTTGGCGGCGCGGTCCGGAGTAGCGCACGGCGGTTCGTCCGGGCCGTCGATGTCTTCCAACTCTTCTTCACCGCAGAGCTAATCAACATGATCTGTGAGAACACAAACAAATATGCGTGGGCGCATATTTTAGAGAGGCAAACGTACACAGAAAAGGACGGCTCATGGAAAATGTTCAGTCCCAATGAAGTGATGCAGTGCATAGGAGTCCTGAGCTACATGGGAATTGTGGAACTGCCTCGCCTCCATCTATACTGGAATACCTCGGAGTTATTTTCCGGCCTCATTCTTCCAAAGATTATGGCCAGAAGCCGATTTTTTGCGTTTCTTGCTTTTCTCAGTGTCATGGACCCGGAGAAGACTGACGCTGTCCGGGATGGCAAGCTGCGCAGGATCACACATCTGCTGCAACATATGAATGACGTGTCATGTCAGCATTTCCAGCCATACCGAAATTTGTGCGTGGATGAACGAATGGTCAAATCAAAAGGACGATCGGGAATACGCCAGTATATGCGTGACAAGGGGGTCAAATGGGGGTACAAGCTGTGGGTCCTTGCTGACTCAAGCACAGGCTACACTGTGCAATTTAGCGTTTACACCGGGAAGCGAGAAACACCCAGCTCAAAGGGACTGGCTTATGACGTTGTAACGCGCCTGTGTGATGCATATTTGGATCAAGGCTACATTATCTACCTTGACAACTTCTACACATCCACCTCCCTCTTTGAACACCTTCTTGAGAGGAAGACTCTCTCTTGTGGAACAACGCGCAAAGATCGGCGCGGATTTCCCTCCCAGTTGAAAGACACCACTTGGGAGAAAAGAGCAACTCGAGGGGACATTCGCTGGCTGCGGTGCCGTGATGTGCTGTATTTGCAATGGAAAGACAAGCGCACTGTAAACATGATGAGCACAGCCCACACTGCCAACAATCACGTCAGTGCAATGCGAAAAGTGAAGAGAGGAGACCGATGGACAAGGATCCCCATAAGGAAGCCACTCATAATAGAAGACTATAATAAGGGCATGCTTGGTGTTGACAAGTCCGATCAACTTATCGCTTCTTACAATGTCTTGATGAAGTGTGTCAGGTGGTGGAAGACACTGTTCTTCCACTGCATTGACATTGCTGTCGTCAACAGCTTTGTCATCTTCCAAGAACACAGGGAACATCACCCCGAGATAGAGGAGCTCACCAGAAAGACTGGCTTTGACCAGCTCGCATTCCGTATTGAGCTGGTCAACCAGATTTTCGGGATGGACGACAGACATGTTCACCCTCCGCCTCCTCCAAAGAAGTCTGAGCACAAGCCCCAGGTGCAAGAAAAGCGCCGTAACTGCAAGCTCTGCTACGAGAAAAAGAAGGTCGAAAGGAAGACTGCAGTTTTTTGTGAGCCGTGTGGTGTGTATCTGTGTTTCATCCCAACGAGGGACTGCTTTGGAGGATGGCACGCCACACACCCACGCTAACTTTTTTTTTCGCGCAAAGAACGGTTTTCAGCAATACCCTCTGAAAATTGTGTTATCATTTTATGGCATAATAAGCTACAGAATGCATATCTTGAAATTTTTTCACTCTTGATATTTTTAGAGTTGTCCACCTTTGTCAAGCAGAACAACATCCTCACTGTATAAAGTTTTACATTAAAACTTTTTTTTTTATTATGTTGTGCAATAAATGTATATGCAGCATTTATGTTATCGAATAGAAAATTCTTTTAACTACATTTTGATACCAAACAATGTAAATAAGGCATTAGTGAATCTGCACCAAAAGATATTTCCTTCCACCTAGTAAAAACTGCCCTTTTTCCCGTGGTAGTGAAAGAGTTAATGGCTTCGCTTTAAAAAAAACTGTTCCTGTAGGGTAGAAACACTTGCACAGTAAATGTAAGAGGAAGGGGACAAAAAAAAAGAAAAAAAGATTGATATAGAAAAAGCAGAAGAAAATAAATAATACTAGAAGAGGAAGAGGAGGAATCATTGAATGGCTGGTGGTTCAGTGGTCGATTGTCTTTTCTTGTCTCCTTACTTCCTACCTATGTTCAACTGGTTCCGAAGGAAGTGAATAACCAACTAGCTCCACCTCTTCCCCTTGTATGCTGATTGAACGTGGGTCCACAACTTGCGCATAATCAACCAATAGGGAGTATTCAATGGCGGCCATAGCTGTGGACTCGACTGCTGAGTGCGTGCTGACGGCGGCCTTCTAGAGTTATTATGCAATGTGCATTCCACATAATCAAAACTGCCGGTCTTAGCAGCCTAATAATGTGAACTCATTCTGAGCATGCGCTCTAAACATCTAAGCATAATCCTCGATGAGACATTTTAGAGCCGCTCTGTGCTGCGAAACTTTTATAAGATAGAACATAAAGCGGCCTTGGTGTTCTTCACGCCTCAAATAAATGATCCATTACGTCAAATGACTTGATGCGCTTGTTTCTTGTTTACGCAAACGCCAGACAAATAAGGGAGCTGAAGTTAACTCGAAAATTCCGGTTCACCAGTGAGAGCGAAGGGCAGTTTCAAAGACGTATTCAAGACCCTTATGACGTCATTGTGGACCGCGCTTGTTCCCATCCAGACGCCCTTCCATGGATTTCCCTTCTGGTGTCTGGGCCGCTGGTGCTCCTGCTGCCTGTCTGGACGTACGTGGCATACAAGAACCAGGACACCCGAGACGTGCTCTCTTCCGGGTGGTTGCCCATCATCTCCGCCATGCTTATATCAAGGTAGGTTCTCGACTACAGTGCGTCTCGTTGCCCGATCGATTGGAGACGTGCTCTAAACTACATCTTGATTTCTCAGTTGAGTTCACTCGAGAAAATTGAGAATTGAGCCTATAACACCCTCACTGTAAAAAGATAACCTTTCCCTCCATTATTGTAGCAAAGGCGTAGTAACACAGAATATGACGCAGCGCTGCTCTAGATGCGGGGAGAGCGCCTTTAGAGAGCGCGACACTAGAGCGCCGACGTCAGGGCGCGCGACACGAAGGCGCTGCGACAGTCGCTCGCTTGACTCTAGAGCGGGCGACACGAGAGCGCACGACCAGTTGAGCGAACACCGCGAAACGTGTGATGTACTCGCGGCTACACAGACAGAACAAAATCGTGCGACTCAGCGGATTGAAGCATTGGTGATTTTTGATTGATTGAATATGCCTTTAATAAAAAATAAGAATAAAATGGGTTTGACTCTTTCTAACCAATTGTTTAGTGACATCGGAGAGAAAAAAAAGGCAGGGGAGTGGGTTGGGGCATGGTAGGTATACCGGGAAAGTTTGCAGTTGAGTGGAGCAGCGAGTCTCAGATTACTTCACGGTGCTGCGGCTTTTGGAAATACTATAAATAGTTTACTTTTTGCTATATTTGCTCTATTCTTGAGAGGCATTTGGGCTCCGATCTATTTGGTGGCTATTTAGACGTCCCTCGCATAAGTTTCAATGGTATCCTGACGTTCATGTCTGTAATGAAGAAAGCTCACCGCTAAAAAGTATCTGTAAAAAACTCATCAAAGGAAAGCTAAGCGCAACTTTTTCGGATGCAGATCTTTCCAGTTTTTTGACAGATACAGGGAAGCCTACCCTGCAAATCTGTGTATACAGAATCAAAGAACTAATAAAGCTAGGTCATCTGCAATGTTTTTTTTTTCTGCGGAAATGCACCCTACAAATATTCTTTTCTTCTTTTTTTAGGGGGGGAGGGGGCTGTCAGCTTTTTGTAACGTTTTTTGATTTGTCAAACGCAAAGAGTTCGTCGACTCATTTCGTAACGTCGTTGCTGAATTCCGCGGCATAAATCCTTGCAAATTGTACATAAAACACGCGATGCCCGAACAAGTGGTTGGTCCGTTCGGGCCACTCGCGCTGGACTGGTTGTGCGCTCTCGAGTCGCGCACGCTAACGTCGTGGCGCTCTATTGTTGGCGCTCTCGTGTCGTGGGCTCTAGTGTTGTATCAGCCCTAGATGCGACCTCTGCGCCGCCTTTTCTGGCCGCCGCGGGAAATCGGGCACATCACCCCGGGAATGAAACCGAGCAGAACGAGGAATATGAAAGATCGGCGCTGCGCTGGGGCACCAGGCTGTTTCACACGATTTCTTATGTTACGGATAGGTCACCGAAACATTCGAGTCTCCAAGGTCGCGCGCTAGGCTATCTTCTTGAACTGGCAGCCACGCTTCATATGACACACAGATGTACCGGTGGCTTGTTCTGGCGTATGCAGGCGTAAAGGCCGGTTCACACAGCGCCATTTTTATCATTTACGTTACAATACCTTACGTACGAGTCACAAGTGCTTCATATTAAGCGTGGCTACCTGTTCAAGGGGCACCCTAGCCACGAATGTTTTTGCTCTCTTATACGTAACGTGAGAGAACGTAAGGAAACGTTACTGTGTGTACCAGCTGAAAGGTCTGTTTACACAAGGGCGTTTTCTACGTTACGTTACGACCGCTTACGGCCGCTTACGTCACGAGTAACTGGGACATCCGTTCTTCAAATCAAGCTTGGCGACCGGTTCAAGAAGTAGCTCTGCACGCGACATACGAAACGCGAATGTCCCGTTGACACTTCACATAACCTAAGAAAGCGTAAACAAACGTCCTTGCGTGAATCGACTTTAAGCCTCCGGAACATAACTTAATGTTAGAAAACGGAACTGTGCGAATCAACCTTTCCTTATGGAAACGGCCCTATACAGAAAGCGCTCTGAAATGAAAAAGAGGCGTGCACTCGGCGGGAACTTTGGAATCCCGGAGCTCCATCGTTCAAACCCTCTCCGTGCGGAAAACGAGCCCAGCTCATCCTCCAGTTGCGCATCAATTTTTCTCAAGCAGAGTACAGCTTCTCTAGTTCCTTTTTTTATTGGTGTAATATTCCTCAGCCGGTGTTCAGCTCGCCCGCACCTCGAAGCTTCATAAAACCACCCATCGACGACGGAACAAGTCAGAACTAGCGAACTTGGCTGTATTTAGCCGTGTTCAGTTCGTTCATGCGGCCCCGCGACCTTTCTCCAAATGGCCCGAAAGAAGTAAAAAAGAAAAGCTACAGAAACGCATGGTTTTAATTATTTATTCTATTGATAGGGATTATAAACCCGAATCCCATTCGAAGGAGTCATCGCTTTATTATTTTAGCTCTGACGAGAGCGATACGGAGATTGACAAATATTTGGACGAAGAGCCACGGGAGTAATGTTTCTTGTGCGCCACCTGTCTTTTCCATTTGTGGCTTTACCGGGTTCCAAAGGTCAAGTTGAACAATTCGCTGAGGTTGCGGATTATTTGGAGAGTATTTTGATGAGGAGCTCATCGAACTCATCATTGACGAAACCAATCGGTATGCAACCTAAGTCCTTCGGTCGCCCCACGCTTCTCATCTGAAAACCCGGAAACGGAGACAAGGAAAAAGCTGATAAAGTTCTTCGCCCAGATAATCTTTCAAGGGGTTATTCAAAAGTCGGATTTTAAGTTATACTGTTCGACACGAGAGGTTCTCCACAGAACTTTAGTTAGGAACGTGATGGGCAGAGATCGCTTCATGCTGATAATGAAGTTGCTATGCTTCGCAGGTAATGAGGCACTAGTGAATGGGTATCCAAACCCGAATCTTCGTAAACTTTGGTTCGTGCTCACCAGTATAACTGAGCTGTTCTAGAATTTCTACACGCCGAAGTGAAATGTCTCGTGGATGAACGCCTCCTTTGCTCCAATAACAGGTTGGTATAGAAACAGTACATGCCTCTGAAACGTGCCAGTTTCGGCGTAAAGATTTCGTCTTACGTGAGTCATCCAAAGGTTAGACCTGAAACATTCTTATGTACACTAGAATGCTACTTTTCTTGGTGATGCATATGTGGCAATGGGCACATGCGTGGTGCTGTCTCTCATGAGTCCTCTTCTTCATTTGGAATACTGTGTAACACTGCACAATTACAGCGCTGTTGAACTGGTTGAACCACTGATCGATCGCAAGACAGATGTGTACGGAACATACCGACTGGATTGGAAGGGAGTCACATACTTGCTACAGAGCAATCTCAATAGAATCACAGTGATGCCTATCACTTCAGTCGAAAGACAAGTTGGTTGTAACGTTCCTTAGCCCGGTGCACTCTGCAGGAGTGGTTGATGAAACCAACCAGAGAGATGAAGTTTCGTCCAAGCCATTCATACTTATGGATTACAACACTGTGGGTGGTGTCAACAAGAATGTCAACCTGTCCTATTACTCTTGTGCAAGGAACGCTATTTATACGTGTTCATTATCTACCAGAAGAGTGGTGACACTCTCACGCACCTTGCGTTCCGGCTCCAGTTGCTGAAGTTGGCTTAACTATCAATAGTATCAATAGTTATATGCACAGTTTTTGCACCACTAGTAGATACAGGATGGCGTTGGATGATGACGGTAGGATGATCGGAACTGCGTCAGCAGGGTCCACTGACTGAGGGCAAAGTTGGGCCGCAGCAGCGCACACTGAATAAAAAACAGAAGCGGGTCTAGCCGCGTGCTCGCGCCGAAACTGTCGTGTTTACTGGTCCGTCTATGTTCCATCCTTGCCTTTATAGTTGGAACTGCCGGCGTTGATTACGCCGCTGTTCTTGGGACGTTGATCGCCAGGTGTAAATACGAAATGGCGTTGGATGCTGATCGTAGGATGATTGGAACTGCTACGGGTCACCCGAATCCTCTTGGCTGAAGAAAAAGTTTGTCAGCAGTAGCACTCACTGGATGAAGAACAGAAGCGTGTTTAGCCAAATGTTCGTGCATCGGCTCGTGTGTCCACTGGTCCGCCGTTGTTCCATCATTACCTTTATAGTCGACTCCGCTAGCGTTGATTACGTCAATGCTTTTGGGATGATAACCACCAGATCTAGAGAAGAATGGCCTTGCATGATGATTGTAGGATGATTGTAACTGACACCGGGTCACCAGAATTCGCTTTACCGAAGAAAAAGTTTGGGAGCAGCAGCTACATGAAGAACAGAAGCGGGTTTAGCGGCAGTCATTTCAAAGCAGCGATTGCCTATGTCATCGAAAATTATGACTTGTTTTAATAGTAACGCCCTCGCCGGTTTTGTAAGCTCTATCCATATGTGCGCGCAGTTATAAAACGTAAATTGTGCTGGTGGCACTTCAGTTGTTGAACGTTTCAAGAAGCCAGAAACATGTCGACAATTTATTGTTTCAGGATCTTGCATTCAGGTAAGTTTTACGTAAACAAGTAATTTTTTGAAATAGCACCCAATTTGTAAAAAGTGATGCTGATGTAGTACCTCGGAATTTGATTCAAGATAAGTTCACGGGCAACACGCCAGAGAAACGCCTAACTTAACATCCGCTTAGCAATACCAGAGGCTTAATACGGTTTTGTTCCAAGGCCAGTTCCAGAGTGCTTTTTCTACGTTTGTATGGCTTTGTTCGGCATTGTTCGGCAATTTAAGCCTATGTTTGCCCCATGAGAACCGAGCAACCAGAATTCAAGCTTTACTCTGGCACATGTTTGGCCATTTAGGCCCAAAGATGCTGAGTGACGGCCGAAGTACTAGGAGTGAAGCCTAAATTAGGCATTTGTCACGTGAATTAAGGCCAAGACAGAAACACTCTGACCAAAGAAGCTGAAGTTTGCCACTACACTTTGGCTTCTTCGAGATTATAAGGCCCTAAATTGTTACAAAAAACAAAATTTTGGCTTTTCATTTTTGCTTTCAAAATGGTCACGTTCT